ATATATATATCTCATTTTATCCTCACCATAGTGTTAAGAGGTAAAGTGCATTATTCCTACTTAACAGATGAGGCATATGAGGCTCAGAGAGGTTAAGTAACCTTCCCAAGGTCACACAGCCAAGTAATAGAGGAGCTGAGAGATGAACCCTGATTTCAATGACTCTAAGACCGTTGGTTTTTAAAGTTTTAACACCATCCGTGTGTTTCTGATTGGGAAATAATTACAAACTTGGGGAAACGCCACAAAATTACGGCAGTATGAATCTTGGAGCCTATTTAAAATCTCTAGGGCACAGTGGCTCACACCTGTAATCCCAGCACATGGGAGGCTGAGGTAGGTGGATTACCTGAGACCAGCCTGAGCAAGAGTGAGAACCTCCAGCCCCCATCTGTTAAAAAAAAAATTAGCTGGGCATTGCAGCAGATGCCTGTAGTCCCAGCTACTTGGGAGGCTGAGAAAAGAGGATCGCTTGAGCCCAAGAGCTGGAGGTTGCTGTGAGCTGTGATGCTATGGCACCCTACCCAGTGTGACAAAGTAAGACTCTGTCTCAAAAAGAAAAAAATTGCTATTAGTATAACATGAAAAACCCCAAACATGCACAAAGTGAACAGAACAGCACAATGAATCCCATCTCTTGGCCAATATTGTTCATCTGTATTTCCAGCTCCTTCCTATCTTTCATATTGTTTTGAAACAAATTCCAGGTTCATGTAATTTTATCCATGTATACTTGAGTATATATCTCTAAAAGATAAGAAAGGACTCTTTTGACATAACCATACTACCATTATTATACTTAAAAATTAAAAATGATTCATATAATTGGATATGCAATCAGTTTTCAAAGTTCTAATTATCTCCTAATTATAATTGTTTTGGAGTCTCTTTGCAGTTGGTTGACATAACCCTTAAGTCTTATTTAATTTATAGATTTCCTTCTCTTTTCTTCCTCCCCTCTTTTTAGTTTGTTTTTAGGCAGTTGGGTCACTTGTCCTGTTGAGTTTTTCGCAATCTTGATATTGCTGATTACATCCTAATGGTGCAGTGTAACACATTTCTCTGTCTTCTGTATTTCTTGTACATTAGTACTTGGATCCAGAGACTTGATGAGATTCAGGTTTGCTTTGTTTTTTCCTTTTGGCAAGACCGTTTCATGGAGGACATTGTGTTCTATTAGGAGACATAATGTTTGCTTGTTTCTTCATGATGCCAGCAGCTACGTATCTATTAATTTATTAGAGATTACAAAATAGTGATAATGAGTGGAGAGCATTTTCCTATTAGTTGAGAAACTCCTACAAAGAGAAACTTTTCTTCATACACTATTTAGTTATCAAGTGGTATAGTTTATATAAGAAGGAAGGATAGGGCAGCTCCTGTGGCTCAAAGGAGTAGGGCGCCAGCCCCATATACCAGAGGTGGCGGGCTGAAACCCAGCCCCAGCCAAAAACTGCAAAAAAAAAAAAGAAGGCAGGATAAATGCCTAATTCTTTTCCCGTGTGTACTAGTTTTCATAATAATGGGTTGGTTTCCCAACATCTTCCTACAGTGGTCTAGGTTTTTTTTTTTTAGTATAATTATGAACTTATAGATTCAAATGTATGAAGATATAATTTTTAAATATAATATTTATATTAGATGTTATATATTTGTTGATAGATAAGATATATAAATATATATAACCTATGAAAAGATGTATAAGACTATCATGAAGAAGTTATAAAATTGTATTAAAGTAAACCTGAATAAATATAATGTTCTATATAATACTGTACATGATGTTCATAGATAGGAAGACTCAGTGACATAAAGATGACAATTCTCTCTAAATTAATGTATAAATTCAATTCTAATTTTTAAAATCTCCAACAGGGTTTTTAGTGAAACATGATTAGCTGATCTTAAATTCATATAGAAAGGCCAAATAGCTTCTATGGTCTGAATGTTTGTGTTCCCCCAAAACTAATTTGTTGAAACCTAACCACCACTGTAACAGTATTAGGAGGTGGGAACTTTGGGTGGAAATTAAGTCATGAGAGCAGAGTCCCCATGAAAGAGATTAGTGCCTGTATAGGGGCAGACTTCCACCATGTAAGAATACAGCAAGAAGGTGCCCTCTATGAAGCAGAAAGTAAGCCCTCATTAGACACTGAAATTCCAGCACCTTGATCTTAGACTTCCCAATCTCCAGAACTGTGAGAAATAAATTTCTATTATTTATAAGCCACCCAACTTATGGTGTTTTGTTATAGCACCCCAAACCAAGTGACACTAGCCAATAAAATTTAGAAATATCCAATAACTTGAAGATGCATATACCCAGCAACCCAACAATTTTATTCCCAGACATACCTTAGAGAAGGTGTTTTATACACAGTGACTCACCTACAAACGTTGATTGTAGCATTATATGTAATCTAAAAAAATTGGAAATAGTCAAAATGGCATTAACAGTAAAATGGATTTTTAAAAGTATATTTATACAACAGAATTCTGTAAAGTAGCTTAAAATAAATGAGAACTCTATGTATTAAAATGGATTAATCTTAAAAACATAATATTAAGCAAAATAAAGCAATTTTCAAAAGTTATATAAAAGGGCAGTGCCTGTGGCTCAGTGGGTAGGGCGCTGGCCCCATATACCAAGGGTGGCGGGTTCAAACCCGGCCCCAGTCAAACTGCAACAAAAAAATAGCCAGGCATTGTGGTGGGTGCCTAAGGCAAAAGAATTG